ATATATATGTATACTCATTCTGTGGGAAACATTGCCATGACATTTTGGCACAAATAAAAAGAACAGTTCTCACTACATATAAATCAGTTCCCTAATAAGTTTAGCACAACAAGTGACTTTTTAAAGTAATCCTTTTAAATATTTAACGACTCTCTCTGTTAGCTTTATCTCATTTTCTAGCTTATTTCAGATGTTTTCTGTTTTTTTATAAACACTCTCACACGTTTTGCTAAGCAGGTGCGTCTTTAAAGCTTCTAATGTTTGAAAAGGCTAAGGGTTTCTTTATCTCTGCTGTAACTTCAAATCAAACAATGGCCTGTTGCCAAGTGCTTCTGCAAAAAGAATGAAGTGTTTCCCTCAGAGTACTCCAAGAATATTTTCTGTCAAAGGCTCTGTTAGTTTAAAAAATGGTTTAAAAAGTATTATTTTTATATTCTAAAAGTTTAAAAGTGACTAAATGCTGACTGAATGAATAAGCAATTGTTCTTTATGAGCTACTTGAAAATGTGCCCCTAAGCAAGGCAGCTACTGCCCTGAAAGTGAACAGTTTTCATTTTTGTTTGCAGTTGTCTTTTTGTGAGATATAATAATAATTCATGTGAATGTGCTTATAAATATACATGCATTTTTTTCCTCAGTGCTGTTTACATCCTGCATTAGACTTCCCCTTCCTCTTACCTTTTTTATTGCTAATTCCTCCTTCTGCCCATCCTTCCCAGCAGTCCCTCCTCTCCTGCTCCTGTCAGCCAATCACAGCATCCTGTTTGTTCACATGACTGACAGGGGAGCAGGAAGATGGAGTACACCACCCAAAAAGCAGCCATTGCAAGCTTACATGCACACAGAAACACACCTTGGCACACAGACAAAAATTTGCATACACACACACACACACACAYACATACATACACACACATACATTCAGGGAGCAGGTTTAAAAGAGATTGCATCATTTTGTCATTTGGTTGGGAAAATTTAAATAGGAAAGAAGATAAAAGCAGCAGGCTGTATCTGTTTTTGGATTTGCTGATAACAGCCTTTATTTGGAGTCTTAAAGAAGAGTTTGTGCTGAATGTTTTAAGGTAAGAAAAGAAGCTTCTGTTTTAAGTTGTGTTTGACTCAACAGATAGAGTTGTAGATTAGTTAATAATTCAGTCTGTGCTGGAATGTTGTTGCTCTGGTCTGTGAAGTCCACAGGGATTTTGCAATTTGAACTCTCTTCCATTGTTTTAAAGAAACRTGATCCATTTCCTTGTTTTCTGTGTCGACACAGTCTGTGCCTACTGAGGGAGTTATGAAAGCTGGGAACACATTTTATTATTCTGTAAACTTGCCAGGCTTTGTGAAATATCTAACACTCAGTGAGCATAGGATAAAAATCATGCTTTGCTTTCTGTTTCTCATTTGCTGTGGTCATTAGTGTGCAGAGACTTAAACTTGTAAAATGGCTGCAGGATTGTCCTCTAAAGTCACCCTGCTCATTCTTAGCCCCTGAATTGCTTTCCTTTTTGTTTGTTCTGCTTTCTTTTTTATTATATCCATTTACAAGTAGATGTGCTTCAGTCATCATGTTTTCTTTCCTCAATGTGCTCTGATTGTGTGCTGACTGAGCTGAGGTCTGGCTTTGATTATAGGAAAATTCCAAAGTATAAATATGATAAACCAGTACTGGGTGCAGTTTGAAGGAGTTCATGTTCAGCTTTTTATATTTTTGTGTGCAGCTTTGTGTACATTTATTGTGTTTTTGAATACTTAAGTACCTAACTGGAACTACACTAAATTGTATTCAGTTTAATAAACAGGGATACTATATTAACAGTCAAGTGTTTACATTCATTTATAGCTATAAATCTTAAAATGCTATTGGTTCCCAAATAATTAACTAGTTAGTTAGTTAGTTAGTCAGCTAAATGGTATTAGACAGTAACTTAAATTTTTTTATTCTAAAACCATTTTTTCAAAGCTGCAATTATTTTTATGTATGTGTTAGGGGTGCAACGATACAGAAAATTTTTGGTTCGGTTTGATACTTTAGTCTCACTGTTAGATAATTTTTCGATACAAAAAAAAAAGAGAAATGTCCATGCCCTTTTTAACTTGTAATTTATTTAAATTAATTATGAACATTTGTTTAACCTCAAAATACAGTTTTCAAATTAAATTTTGTTGAAACAGCAAGTTTCTCAGTGGATCTGCGCTCAAAAATGCAGCCTAGGTGGAGTAGTAGAACACAGATCCACTGATCCTTCAACACGGAGCGTCTTCAGAAGACAAGCTGATAAAATAAATTGAAAAAATCTGTTTTGTTCGATACACAGTGTGTRTTGAACCTAAAGCACTGTAGTGAAAGGTTTGATACGGGTACATGTATTGTTGCACCCCTAATATGTATATATGCATAGGTAGATTGTGACTTCTAAGACTGAGATCATGTGAGGTGGGTGTTTAGTTAAAAACATTCATTATTACCTGACTGATACTGTCCTAGTTATTGTAATTTTTAATTGGCTAAATTTAGCAACACACAGTGGATGCTTATTGTTCTTATTTTTTTATTATATTCCATAACAAAAAAATATATTGACATACTTCTCATAACCAATCTGAAATACAAACTTCAATCAACTCTGAGTCACTCCTGTTTAAATATTAAAACTCCCATTATTTATATATATATATATATATATTTTTCTAACATTTTTTTATTTCAAGTCTATATTCTAAGAGTTTAAATTTAGCAGCAATAAACGTTGTTTTTCACTGCTGCCTAAAACAGTTGTTCTCACCTTAGTGTTTGATTCCTTGTTTTTATTAGGTTGCATGAGGCATCCCTACTTTGCAATCATCACATGGAGCATGACGCCTTCTCTGACAAATCAGAGCGAGAAACTCATGATGACTGGGACACCTCAGCTAATGACAACGGTGGAAGGCTGACAGAGGAGAGCGACATAGAGCAGCTAGACGAGATGCCCCCCGCGCCACAAGCCACTGCTTATGTAGAGCAGAGCGCCGAGGAGATGGCTGAGGTAAAACACTCTGCCAGATTTTCTTTGTGCTAAAGTTCATCCTCAGTATTAATATGAAGGCACTCCATTGTCCTCTAGTATGCAAATAAACCAAGCCGTCTAACCTGCCTTTTTGTTTGTGCTAGGAGTTACCTCCACACTACTTTATCTGTCTTTCTTTGACTCTGCCTCTGGTTATCTTGGTTCCTGTAGGCTGGTGAAGCCTCTCAGGTCGAGACCGTATCAGATGAGAACAAAGGTCTGATCTGGGGTCTGCTGAAGCAGCTGCGACCAGGCATGGACCTGTCGAAGGTGGTTCTGCCAACCTTCATCCTGGAGCCTCGCTCCTTCCTAGACAAGCTGTCTGACTACTATTACCACGCTGATCTGCTCTCACAGTTAGTAACTTTATTTAGTCTGTGTCATGAAGTTATTCTCTATTCTTACTGTTTTTGTTCTTTTTATATCATTTTTGGCCCTAACGTTTTTTTTCGTTACCTCAGGGCTGCACTAGAAGACAGTGCTTATGGTCGGATTAAGCAGGTGCTGAGATGGTACCTGTCTGGTTTCTACAAGAAGCCAAAAGTAAGACATGTTCTCTGTTTGGGTTTGGTGTTTTACTATATAACAGTAATGGTTTCAAGTTGACAATTAAGCATACATTTAGACAGTAATGTAATAAAATCCTAAAATTTGAATTTACTGAATTAATGTACAATGATCTCAGTGAAGGGGATCATTTTAAATTAAAGGATTTGATACATAACCATATTTTACCCTGATTCTCAGTCACATTTCTAATTATTTAATTTCCCTCTAGGATCAATAAAGTATTTTTGAATTTGAATTGAATATCGTTAGCCTCATAGCATAATTGCCCAAGACATATTTAGTCACAAATGACTTAGGCATAAATGCTATGAGGCTAACGATATTCAACTTACCTGTCAGTTTTCTGCAGGTGAATATTTTCAATGCCCTAAAAAGATTTATTTTTATTTCACTGCATTTTTATTGTTATTTTGGGCTCTCCATCTGTAAAAATTCCACACAGTAACACTAAATGAGCTGGCTGGTAAAAACATCAGGAGGCRCTTTCCTTTTGTTTTTACTCGTTACAGATTTATATCCGGTGTAGCAGCAGCATCACAGAGGAGCGCTCTGTGTGAGCCAGAGGAAAATGCCTGTAGATCAATTGGCTCTTACTCAGCACTTTTTGTGCTGACTGCCTTTGAAGGCTTTGCATAAATAGATCCATAAACACTAAATTACGCCTTGTTAAAAGGCCTACAAATAGCTACTTGAACATTTAAGTTACAACGTCTGCAGGACAGTGTGCCAATGCTGCTCGTTACATCCTTTGCAAGAGTCCAGATAAATGTTTCATAATCTGACTATTTCTTAATTTTGAAGAAACAGTAATGTAGCTCATATTGGACTGGATAAAACACAAGGTTGAATCAATATTTCTTGTGTTTCCAGGGGCTGAAAAAGCCATACAACCCAATCCTGGGGGAGACGTTTCGCTGCTGCTGGCTTCATCCTCAGACTGACAGCTGCACGTTCTACATAGCTGAGCAGGTTAAAACAGAATCAGGGCAGGGCATGGTTCATGCACTGTGTGAAACATGGCACAACCTGTATCTGACAATCGGGTGTCTCTCTGCTTGTCTTCTGCCAGGTGTCCCATCATCCACCCATCTCTGCCTTTTATGTCTGCAATAGGAAGGATGGATTTTGTATCAGTGGGAGCATCCTGGCCAAGTCGAAGTTCTATGGTACAGGACAAGATAAATGACTGCATTTTCCTCAGAGAACAGATTTATTAAGGCAAAAATAAAAATTATTAAGGAAAATGTACCAGAAAAGTCTAATATCCGTGTTCTGTTGTAGGTAACTCCCTGTCAGCTATTCTGGAAGGCAAAGCTAGACTGTTGTTCATGAGCAGGGAGGAGGAATATGTCATCACCATGCCCTACGCTCACTGCAAAGGTAAACAACATGAACATAACTAATTATTCCAGCTATATGTTTGCTACTTAAACAAAAGCTCCCTGCAGATTTTAATGCTACAAAATACAGATGTTGATTAATTTGGCCTGTAAGATCACAGATTATGTTCTTACACTCACACTTCCACAGCTTTATCAAAGTGATGCTGTCTTTTTTAGAGCTTGTTTGTAAAAATCTTTATCTGAGTTGAAGGTTGTCCAGTTGCACTCTACTGTTTTCTTTTTTCTATAATTCTGATGAAATAGTTTAGTTTTTCCTCTTAAACCCAAATATACTCTGGCTGTTTTGACCACAGCATGCAAATTCAGCTACCATGTTTACAAAGAAATCTTTCTGTGCTGGTAAATAATGTGTGGGCTTCATCTGTTGTACTCAATATGTCTGAGCTACTCAAGGGAAAAAAAGGCCTCATTTTGCCCTAAATTTCATTTAAAACATGGCACATGGCCAAAAATGGAGAAGAAGGATGGAAATAGATCAGTTAGATCAGCTTTCTGTTTATTCTCCAAGCTTACTCACTCATGATATATTTTTTTATTTATTTGTTTTAGTGAAGAAGATGGACCGATGGTAACTGTGTAATTAAACAGGAAGTGTTAGATTTATCTGTGGACTTTGACAGGATTATTTAAAGCTAAATATATCAGATAGGTTGTTGATCTGATGGTGTTTTGTCTCCTGAAGGTATCTTGTATGGAACCATGACATTGGAGCTGGGAGGGAAAATTACCATTGAATGTGAGAAAACAAAATGTCTTGCTGAGCTGGAGTTCAAGCTGAAGGTATGTTTTATTTTTATTCTTATTATTAACAAGGTAAAAAATGCTCTTAAACGTGTTTCGATGACTGTATCTTGTACAGTAAAAGTTTACTAACTCCAAGGAAAGACTGAAAATGTGACACTACTAACAAAGATAACTCTTGTTTTGTTTCTGTCACCCTCAGCCTTTTCTTGGAGGCTCCGGTTCTGTAAATCAGGTCAGTGGGAAGATCTTCCTGGGAGAGGAGCTCATGGCCACTGTAGATGGACACTGGGTAAGCACTTCATGCTGGTTTGAATTTTTTTTTGTTCAGCGTTGCTGTTTCAGTATCCCAGCTGTATTCAGTATGTTCTTTGTGATAATTAGAAGCAGAATTAATAATTATAGACTGGATCAGCAGGAACAGCATGAATGAGGGTGGGCTGGAGTGTCTGAAGAATAGAACTGAAACAAAGTGGAAAATGTTTTTGCCTAACCACTGTATTTTCTGAGCTGTAAGTCACATTTATTTAGAATTTTATTTAAGTCTAAGAACATACTAAGAACAAACATTTAATCTGGAATAACAATAACACAGAGAACTTACCTGGGATGCCAGACAGCCTTAATTCGTGTGACAAGCCAGTGAGTTCAACAAACAAGTTACCAGTAGGTTAAAGTCGCCAATCTTATTCTACATCACACGATTAGCTTTCTTCATGCAGTAAGTGTGGCCTCTGCTTTTCACCAGTCCCTCAAGTTTCTCATTAGCTTTATTTCTACTCCTCTTTTTTTATTTAACTGGTAGGCTCCGGGAACAACATATACTGTAGTTGTCACAAGCCTAAAGCGCCCTCTGATGGCTGCAAACAGCTTTTACTCCTTATTTCACGTCAGTCTTTATGAGCCAACATTTAACACATCAGTCCAAAAATGCATCATGAGGAGGAAAAAAAACATATATAAATCACACCTGATTTAAGTCGCAAAAGCAGCCAACTTATTTAAAAAGTGCAACTTATAGTCTAAAAAATACGGTAAATTTGCCGACATGGTGGAATATTGATGTCAATCTGCTGACTTCATGTAATAATAATAAGAAAAACTGAGCATTTTGTTGCTTTTGTCAAAAATCAGGACAGCGAGGTGTTTATCCAAGAGAGGCGCTCAGGCCAGCAAGAAACTTTGTGGAACCCAACTCCAGACATTCGCAGCAGGCGCCTCAAGCGTCAAGTGGTCCAGTTAGACCAGCAGGGGGAGTTTGAGTCTGAAAGGTAACCACCTGCAAAATAACCTGTCAGCAAATTAAAACACATTAAGTTCTGCTGATGTCAGCGTGAACCGATTAATTGGTCTGTTTGCTCAGTTATTATCTTATTTATTTATTTATTTATTTTTGTTCTCAGACTGTGGCAGCACGTGACTCGTGCCATTATGGAACGGGACCAGGTGAAGGCGACGCAGGAGAAGTTTGTGTTGGAGGATGCGCAGCGGCAAGGGGCCAGAGAGAGGGGGGACAAAGCCTGGATCCCTCAGCTTTTCCAGCTGGACCCCATCACCTCAGAGTGGACCTACAGACACATGGAGTAAGACCACCCTCGCACCAAACTACAGCTCTCAGTTCAGTGTGGCGAAAACCAAACTGTGGAGCACGGCGTGTTAAAGTGACAGTACCCTGTATTTGCAGCACTCGACCGTGGGACCCTGAGGTTTGTCTTGTTCAGTTTGAGAAGGACCGAGTCATTCAGACACACGAGAAGAGCCTGAGACAACCCAACGGGATCTCCTTCAGCCACAACTGGGCCAGTCAGCGCAAGGTGACACTAAAACCTCCCCGTCAACAAAACATAATCGATCACATGAATGGTTTTTCCTTCTTCATTTTTACTGCAACGATACTCAAACATTTAAAGTCCATTTTTATTTAGATCCAAGCTCGTTGTCAGCAGTTTCCTGTCAGTTTTTTAACTCAGCAATGTTTGAAACACTGTTGCTTGTCTTTGTAGGCCCAAGTGAATGGGAAGCACCGGAAAGCGAGCAGCCAGCCGTCCACCTGCAGCCAGAACACAGAGAGTAGCGGCTCTACACCCGAACCTGCACACGAGTCCTCRGACAACGAAGGTGAGACAGAAACTGAAATTTCTTCTATCAATTAGGATTTCTGACATAGAAACCTCATATAAATTACTTAAGAACAAAAATGGCAAAATCTATTGCAGTATTGTATAAAGCTAAGGAGTTATTTAATGATAAAGCACTATTTACACTACATAATACAATAATTGTTCCACATTTGATTTAGAAGTCTGGGGAAATGCATGTAAAACCATTACTAATCCTATTTTTCTTTTACAAAAAAGAACCACAAGAATTATTACAAGAAAGCATTACTATCACCCTTCTAATATATTGTTTCATCAATTAAAATGATGAAAATTTCATGAGTTGGTTGATTATAACATTCTGCAGGTTACGTATAAGGCTCATAGAAATGTGTTGCAGTCAAACATCCAATCACATTTTGTTAAAAGGGAAAGCTGCTATAATGAAGGGATTGCAAATGTTTGTTAAACCAAAAATCAGAACGAATTTGAAGGACCGATGCACTTCAGTAAAAGCTATAAGACTATGGAATAATCTGGAAAATGACCATAAAAGTATTGGATCAATTAATTCCTTTAAGAAAAGGACTAAAGAAAAATTGTTAAAAAATATGAACTTGTTTAATTTGTATTAGTTACTGTTTGAGGAATTGAATTTTTGTTTTGTTTTATTATTTGGCTTATCATCGTTTGATTTTTTTTAAAGGAGCAGATACAATTTTTTCTCTTCTTCTGCTGCCTTTCATTTTATTTGTATTGTTTTGTTGTGTGAAATGTTTTGTTTTTTAATGAAATGAATAAATAAATGAATTGACATTTCTCCAATAGGTCATATATTTACAGTGAACGTCAAGTTAAATGTTTAGTACAAATTTTTTGGGCTTGTTTTTTGACTACTTTTGGGAGATTGTTTTTACCATAAGTAAAACCAAAACCAGTCCAAATACTGTAAGAAGTTCCAGATGTGCCCTGTTAATCTATATTCTGTTAAAAAGGGATGCTATTGTATACCAATAAATTATGTCTTTAACTTTTGTCTGTTCTGTGCTCAGATTTTTCCAACCAGTGTGCTCGCTGCAGTAAAGAGAAGAACGACTTTGCCCTGATAGAGGCCTCCATCACATCTATACAGAAGACACAGCAAGATATTCAGAAGTAAACACTGTCTTAAAACATGATTACCTGTACTCCAGCAGGTGCGTTGTTTTACTCCGCCCCTTCTTTTCCTGCAGGAACCTGGTGACTCTGAGCCGCCAGCTGTCTCATCAGAGGGCGACGGAGGACAGCTTGTCGTTAACGGGCCGCCACTGCCTCATCCTCTGCGTCCTGCTCCTCTCCCAGCTCCTCCTCAACTACGTCTTCACCTGAGCCAGCTCGTCGGGGAGAAGCTGCACTTCAGCACTGATCTGAACTAACTCCTAACGGACACAAAGGGACAGAGGACTCGGATCAGTGTTAGGGGTGTCACTTCGGGAGCGGGGAGGAGCAGAGTCCTTATAGCAATAAAACAGTCACAGCCACGTCTGTCGGTCATCTGCAGAGGAGCAGGTTCTTCTAGTGTAGCGAGACCGAAACAGCACCGGCACCCACGCACTTTGAACAGGAGAGGGAAACAAACTGTCAGCTTGATTTAAAAAAAAAAAAGAGAGATGCTCAATAAATGAAGAGAAAAAGAAAACAAGAGAGGATGTTTCACCATTCCTTAGTGTCTTCTTAAAAATATTTCCCTGCAATACTGTTCGTCTGTGAATGTGCCTGTTTGTGTTGTTTGTATTTACAGTAAGCCCTATGGGCACAAAGATCACGGCTCGGACTTGTCATCCCCCCCACTCCACTCCAGATTATGGGCCTTAACGCTGAAGCCAAAAACAAGACAGACACCGGATACAGAAATGAAGAAACCGTGCAATTGTTGTGTTTTCTATCACTCAAATACACTCTGTCTCGTCTTTTTAATAATGATTTTACCAAAAACAGTATTTATAATCTGAAAGGACAAAGAGTATTTGTTTACAAGAGAAACTGCGTGTGTTTGGAGCGACACACTGAGAAGAGGAACGGGATGGAGGCAGGGCAGAGAGCCAAACAGAGTGTCTTTGTATTTGTGTGCCTGTACTGCTGCGTCCGAGGGGAGAAAGGAATCGCACTGATTCAGTCAGTAAAAATAGTTCGTACAATCATCCGCTTAGAGAAGGAGCAAAAAAAAAATAGACAAATGGAAGTTTATATTAAAAAAAAAAGAATACATGAGCCTAAAGGAAGAGATTGTTGTGAGCATCTTGGTCGACACCGTGTTCAAGTGACTATCTTAGATGTAAACTTTCGTATAAAAAGAAAGAAAAGGTTTTCTTTTAATCAGTTTGTATATATTTGTCTGTTTCAAAGAGATTCGAGAATGTATTTATTACGTGATTCACCTTGACTTTCCTGAACTAAATGAACGAGGAGGACCTGAGGTAATTCCTCTCCTGAGGTGTGTGTCAGTTTGTCTCTCTCTGTATGCCTGTTACTGTGATGGAGCACACGTATGAGTCATGATCCTACTAAACACGTCACGTCTGCGATTCTAAGTTTTATCTGTTTTACAGTCTGATCGCCAGAACTGATCGAGTTAGATTAGTGAACAGCACAAAAAGGAAGTCAGCTCTGTGAAGTTTATTTTTTATACACCTTAATTGTTCTTTTCACTGGTATCTTTGTTTTCTACTTTGCTGCCATGTTGTAGGGGATTGTACACGCCAGAGACATTTGTCACGGAACAAAATAACATGTTGATGCYTGATGTTTGCATTCATACTTGTATACTGTAGCACTACAGTAAAAGGTTTCACCCTTCGGCAGCGTCTGGTCCTCACTAATTTCTTACATGAGGAAACTTGTTTCCACCTGTTTGAACAACAAACACCAGCTGTTCCTTCTGTAGCGCTCCACCAGGGGGCGATGTTAACCTGAGTAAACARGTCTACAATAAGCTCCATGTTGTTGTCAAAAAAGGTCAATTTTCACTAAAGAAAAACATTCTCCAGCATGTTGTGGGTCTCATCACATTTAGCAAACCTCCAGGAAGGCATCCATAAGAACTGCACTTTAAGACATAGGGACATATTTGTAATTTCTAAGGACTTTTACAACAAACCTTTTGTGATTCTGGTGGTTTTTTATTTTTATTTTTTATGGCTCAATAACATCTTCCACAGGGTAACAGTTTGAACCGATAACGACCGTGGGTTTAGCAGTCTGATAGAGTGGGACTGGTTGCAATGTTTGTAAGAAGGACAAACACATCCAGTGATTCATCTTTTGCTTTATTTATTCATTATTTGAAACAAGGGGAAAATTATATAAATGATAAAAAAAATTATAAATGAAATGATAGAAGCAGAGGGAAGAAAAAACTTTATAACATCTGCCCATTTTTTTCTCTAAAATTCAAATAATACATTTTTTAATAAGTCATTTTACAGAGAGACTTTGAACCAAAACCAGCATCAGGTCCATCTTTTCAACAACAGTTTATGTCAATACTGAGTATCATTTTTTTTTCAATAAACTAGCTTTTATCATCTTTTTAAACATGTAAATTCTTTTGAAAGTTAGAATATGATCAAGATTATTCCATAAATTTATACATTAAATTACAGTACAGTGTTCCTTTAGGTTAATTCGAAATAAAGCTTATTTTAAAAATATCTATTCCCTTAAATTTATATCGACTCAATTATTTTATTTTTTTTTTTTACAAATTTTAACATAATATTTACTCGTAATATGTATTTGAGCATTATACATAACTTGTAAGATAATCTACCAAATCATAAAACTTCAATCATTTCAACTGATGAAATAATGTATTTGCTGGATGACAGTTATGATTTTTTAATAAGGATTCTTCTAATAATAATTTTCTTTTTATTCCTGATCACAACTATTGATAACCCACATCATTAAAAATACGTATTTTAGTCATATTTTAACCAAACTTGTGCACAAGAAGAGAAATGATTTTTCAAGCTAAAGCCTGACAGTATATGTGCAACATTAATTATTCAGTATAGAATGGAGCCACAAGAGGAAATCTGACCTTAGATTGAGCAGAAACTATTTTTATTAATAASTGAAACCTCAAAAATGAAGGAAAACTCACATTTGAGATTTTATTACCTATGTGGTTTGACACACACTGGTTCAAGGTTCAATAAATGCAACAGAGACATTTACATTTTTCACACTGAAWTGCTTTAATCATACAGTTCTAGTTTTTCCTCTTCATTAAAGTGAAAGCAGTTTTTCAATCAGCTGGCTTAATTTTTTATTTAGTAAAGTATGTAACCACTCTTCCCTCTAAGCATCGTTATGATTGGCAGCTCAGCATATGTTAGTTTTCATTCATCAAGTTAAGTAACACCTTTGCTAAGTGATGAAGAGGAATTCCTGGCATGCCAGAGYGCAGGAAGGAAACTCAGACTGAAATTAATCCAGAACGTGGAATGTGTCTGCTTCAGTGAGACGGCAAGCGGTTTGGCTCGATTTCATCGAAACTTCCTGTCTATCAAAGGAAACTTTCTTCATTCTTGAAGCAAACTGCCCTGTTTGACAGCCGGCCCTGAGATCATCCAGAAACTGATTTATTATTTTTATTTGTTTTCACTTTGATTCTTCATGCAACAGCAATAAAACAGAAAATATAATTAGGCCCTATGTTCTAAACTGTTTTAAATTTGTTGTTTTCTTGCACATGACCAGCGCAGTGTTCTCCTCGTAGATGTTTGGAAAAAAAATAAACCAACAACGGCTAAAATCTTCAATCTATCATCCAAGACACCAACTAAAACACAACGTTTGCGATGAGGACTTGTAGTTAAAGCAATAAATGGGAGGAGATTGATGAAAATTCAAATCAAGAGGGAATCTTTAAAAGTTTGGTCCACCACCTACAGTTGTTCTTTGTTGCTTTGTTCACACCAAAAACAAAAGTTTCTGACAATTTCAACCTTTCTTTCTTTAAATTTCTTTTCATAGTTGGATAATTGTCATGTAAAGTCTGCAAAAAGTTAGTTATTTTAAAAGGAGGCACATGCTTTTAAATTCTTTTCATATTTGAATCATTCAGTTGGATCTAAATAAAGTGGAACTGGTCTGAATTTCTCCTTATTGTAACTCCACAAGCCCCTCTTCCCCCTTTTTCTGARGTGTGTCTCATAGAGATGTGACGTTCGCGAACGATCCGAGTCTTTTGAACGGCTTTTTTTTACAACGAACGATAGGAGCCGAATCACGGGCAGTAACGAGGCATTTGAAGTTTTATTTCTTTTATTCCTCGTATAATCTTTATTTTTTTTTTCATATTTAAATCGCTCCTGCTTTGCTTTTTCACGGAAAACAGGCGGAGTTGTGGAGTACAGAAGCTCACGGTGAAAGGGGGAGGGGGGAGGGGGTTCCGCTTAGCAAACACATGGTTCCACCCACGTGACGGGATTACGTCATTACRTACRGCTACRTGATGACGTATTTCCCTACGTGATGACGTAATACGCTCAAAATTGAACGGCTCTTTTGAACGGCTCCCCARTATCCGGATCCCTTCAAAGAGCCATTTATCCYATCTCTWGTGTCTCAGATCAACTCGTTTTAAYGCTGYCTCTTTAAATCCAAATGAAGAGCTTCAAAACCCCGCCCCCTTCCAGACCAGTCCATTTTACTTTGATAAAGTGGTTTACGACAATATAGCGCAGCAGAAACTTTTTATTTACAAATAAAAAGATGTCAACAAGGCAAGACTTGTCTGTCCAGCCTCACATGTTGGAGCCAGAGTCTGACCCAGAGCCAGGGGAGAACGAAGATGACAAAATTGTAGCTAGTTGGTAAATCCAGACCTTTTTTGGCAGCTTGCAAATAATTTGACAGAATAGTTCAGAAAACGTAAAAAAAAAAATAGAAAAAACTGAACAGGTTGAAAAAGATGATCCACAGAGAATATAAAAATATTAATGCAACACCTGGAGAGACTAAATTCTAATTTTCTGSACTCCTAGAGACTTCAAGTAAACAAAATGTATTTAACTGCTAAAAGGTGGATTTTGCTTGATGTGTCCCCTTTSAGTGAAAGGAAAAGCAAYASAGACTGGACCTGTCAGATTAGCAGGCCAGTTCTTAAACTTTTAAAATATTCTCTCATGGACTGGATGAACTTAAAAGAAGGGCCATATCAGGCCCGTGAACCTTTACTTTGACGAATGATATAAATGTTTCTGGGTTTATGACAGTTCCACCTCTGAACATCACTTATCATTCTTTACTTTTCCCTGTGTGATCCCTGCGCTCCCCGCCCTCCTCGCCTCCCTCGGGCCCAGGCAGGTGAGCGTGAGGCCAGCTGTGCTGAGGCGTGTCCTGCTGGTTTGGGCTGAAGGGCAGCAGGGTTCTGGCTGGATGTTTGTTGTGTGGGTTGCTGCTCTGTTGCAGCAGGCCTGTCTGGAATAGACTTGGGAACTTGTCTGGGCTTGCCTCCCCGCCTCCTGCAGGAGAGGAAGGAGAGGAGAAYGAGGGAGCAGCTCTGGTAATCTGAGGCGGTGCTTGTAATGTGTCTGTTTTTCACTGCTTCAGATCAGATAAGGTCAAATAAATGAGTAAATCTGCAAATCAAACCTGTTTTTAACAGCTGGGGAGAGGGTTCATCAATGGCACCGACTTTTCACTATAGACTCATGAAGGAACAGAGCAACTACACCCASGATTTCTGAGACCAGATCTATAGAAACATTTAGTTCAGCTCTTTGGAAGTTTGTAAAATTTATAAACAGTAAATGTCCTACCTGTATTAGATAGCGCATTGAATGACWGGAAAATAGAGTTTAATTCTGGCTGGAATGAGAAGCTAACGGCTAATCCAAGTTGGGCCAAGATCAACTGTCAGAAATTTAATTTGATAATGTTTTATCAATCTTTCGCAACCTTATAAATACTTAATAAACAAGCTAGCCGCTGTTATTCGCACTTGCAAATAAAACTCTATGCGAACACCTAGCCTGGCCCTTGCCTTCCTACGCTCAATTCTWGTTTCCYTTCACTGCTCCGTCTGGGATTTCTCCCAYAGACAAGGATTTCTTCAGGAGAATTTTTGTCCGGGCCAACGAGCAAACAGAAGGAGGAGTTTTGAATGATGTCGATTTTGTGCGCATTGTCTGGTAGTTAGCTTAGCAATGGCAGTGGAGGAAGTGAATGAAGCCAGTCTGTGTTGATAAGGCTTCCAAATTAAATTAAATTTGTCTGACAAAGCAGCAGCTCTCATTTAGTCGTCTCGTTCGGCTCGGTACTTCTCTCAGTAGGGTTGTTTACAGCGCATGCAATTTCCAGTTAGCTTCTTACCTTAGCCTCCTTTAGCTGGCACACATATGTCGCTGCCAACCGATCCAATCATTTTAAACTTCAGCAGAGGCCACGCCTCCAGCAAGAATCGCTTCTCTATAGCGGAGAGTCCAGACCCTCCTACGAAGCAAGGGTCTGGTTTTAACCAGGCTAGCTAACACCGGGTAAATTGACAACAAAAATACTGATTTTGGTCTAAAAATAAAACAAAATTTAGACTGGACAGTAGACTTTTTCTTTGTATTGACTTTTGTCAAACAGACTTGACTTTTATAATTGACTTTTAGCTCCCTGTTTATGGTCTATAACCTGATTAAAACAAGACATATTAACCTTATCAAGCTGCTGTGAGTGAGGAACCATGTGATGTTAAACTTCTAATACATTAATACATAATGTTCAAACACCCTATGAGTTTATCCGTTTAATGTTGTTTTTAGCATTACTTGAGCCTAAAAAGATTTTTTTTCCTT